ATTCCTGTAGTTCAAGTATCTCAATGTTTGGTGCATGCTGCAGAGATGTATCTTAGGAGGGCAGAGGGGGGCAAAGTGACTTCAAAGGTATGTTAGCAATAGCTGCTCACCTTAAGGCCATCCTGGGCTTACAGATAAGTGATCTGAGTGAAAGAAAGTCCTGTTTTGTGCTACAGTGCTGCAAAAGTCTGAATGACTGTGGTGGCTGAACCTCTTGAGAATGCTCCCTTTGGGAGGCTAGTGACGTGCAGGAGCTTGGACAATATATGGTGCATTTGAAAGCGCCGAGCACTGCAAAGAGGTCATTAAATTGTTATTGGGTAGCAGAGTACATGCGGTATCCAAAAGCAGAAACATAGAAAAAGAATTATTGTTTTTCTTTACAGCACGTTCAACTGGACAGTGCCTTTCCTCTCTGTCCTGGCCTGCTTGGTCCTGGCAGCAGCAACGGTTGTTTTGTATTTTATACCACTGAGGTACATTGTTTTAATCTGGGGTAAGTACTCCACTGTGTCTTGTTTGCATGCAATAAATGCAATATATATCTACAGAATGAAATCAAACAAGCTTTAAATGACCTGTTACTCAGACAATCAAGTGCTGTTGCGTAGAGGTGAATAAATATGTTATGAACTTCAAAATTACCATTTCCCCCTCCACCTTGCGTGATCCAGTGATCTGCTTTTCTTAAGGTACTTGATAAATTTCCAACAGCACCACAAGATGAGCATTAGTTTAGATAAGCTACTTTTAATATTATTATTATTGTTCTGCAAGAGAGTAATTAGCTTCCTGGTTCTGCAGCCCTCAGTTGGAAAAAGGTAGAGAGTGGACAAGATGTGTTTGAAGAGCTGGACCCTGTGGGAGCCTTTTGGGTCTTAAGTCCCCTGCAGTCAGGAGGATCAGTGCACTCAGTACCCCATGGTCCAACAGAAGGCATGAGCGTCTCTTTGTGTCATGGGTCGGAAAGTATTTGTTGTATGAAGGTGCATTATGAACTAAAAGAGGAACTTTTAAAAATGAAAACTTTCCTGGTGGTGTTATGGAGAAGAGCAAGATGGTCTTTCACAAAAGGAGATGGCATTCCAGCTGCTGAAGACTTTCTTCATCTCAAAATGGCCTTCTGTCTTACTTAGAGTGGTAGCTTTTATCTCAGCTTTGAGGTACAGTGACTGGGAACACAGTGCAGGTGGTCGTCGCCGAACCACTGGAGCTCAGCCCCGGTGTGGCTCTGGGCTGTAGGGACCCCCCACCCCTGCCAGGGATGAGCCATCTGCTGCTGCCTTGGCCCTTCTGCTTGCAGAAAAGGGGGGGAATGAGAAGGTGCCAGTACAAAAAGCCATTCTTGGGCAAAAAATAAATGAAATACAGGATTAAATCAAACAAAAGAAAGGGCAAAAGGGAAGGAGAGAAATTGCTAGGAGTAAAAAGTTCAGTAACAAAATATTGTTGTTCTTGTATGGAAGACATGGTGAGTGCATGAAAACTATACATCTGTTCAACATCATCTAGACTGACAGGGCCTTCAAATATGATACATGTTAAACAACTACCCTGTGGCAAGGCCTCAAAAGACCTTATGGTATTTGCTGTTTTTTAAAAATCAGGTACACAGAAAATTGTGTTGGCGTTTTGCTACAAGTAGATGGCTTAAAAGCTGAATCTCAGATGTGAAGCAGGTACATTCTGGAGAGAGAAGGCGGCTGGAGCAGCTATCACATTTGAAATCACTTTCAGGGAAATTACTATGAGGTTTTGGGCAGGGGCATGATGGAATGAAATGCTGTATTATGATCCTCAGATGCAACCAACATTGGGAATTTTTTTGCTGTCCTTTAAAATGGGTTAGCTGATTTTCTTCGCTGAGTGATTCTTTGCTTTTCTACCACACCTTTATGTAGCCACACTAGTAGTTGCTATTTCTCGGAGGGAAAGTGGTGGCAATAGGGTGTTCAGTGGCTGTATTGGTGCAAGGGGAGAGCTCGGATGGTGCTCAGGTCTCTCACTTTCTCATCCCGGTCCATGCAATAGAGATGGCACTGACTGAGGGCTGCTCATCACTCCCTTTCCTCAAAGGTGGGAGAAGAGAAGACCTCATGGTCTCCACAGAATTATGAACAATGCACTCCTATGGATCTTCTCCCACCAGGGACCACCTCTGATAGCTGAAGCATAACTCAGTCCCTGAAGGACACTGGTAGCACTGTTGCTGTAGTTAATAAACCAGATTATTCACCCTAGGATCAAAGTAAAGTAAACCTTGTGAGTTTTTACAGTTTTCCACGGCATTGTAGTATGACCAACTTGTCAAATCTGGTTCTGCAAAGAGAGCACAATCTGTAAGACCTGATGGTGAAGGGAAGCTTTTGTTTTCAGCAGAAATGGAAGGAAAAAAGCCTTTATCCCACCCAGTTCTTTTCAGAGCCCTGCAGTTCCCTGGGCACGAGGAGAGGCAATGTCTTTGGTCACATAGAATAGCTGATTTAACAGTAGTCTCAGTTGCAAATTTGTATATTCTCCCCACAGTATCCCCCAGAATAAATGCATGCTGCAATCTTTTTTTGCTATGTTGTTGACAACAGATGATCCCCAAAGTAGAGAAATATCTTTATAAATAATGCCCTCTGCTTCCTTGAGGAGGCACTTGTGAATGATTCCCCATGTCATGGAACCAGTGCATGGCTTTAAGTCCGAGGCACTGTTTTCACACCAATTTTTACTTGTGAATTCCTCTTCCCTTTTTCACCTTACCTGAACAATTTAGGAGAGAGGGAATAGAAAGGAGTTGCATTATTTTGTTTACTGTGTTTTTTTTTTTCCTAGGCATAAATAAATTTACTAAGAAGCTTAGAAATCCCTATGCCATCGACAATAATGAGCTACTGGATTTCCTCTCCAGGGTACCATCTGATGTTCAAAAGGTGGGTAATGAGTGGCCACCACCAACAGAGGAAACAAGCAGCACAGAGAGCGGCTGGGTGCTCTGCTTGGGGAATACGGTGCCAGTGCACTTTTGAATAAGGGAGATAAGGAGTCAGGGAAAATCCACAAAGGGAGATGGGGAGGCTGTTAGAAGAGAGGGGAGCCAAAATCCTTTGTCAGAAGGATAACATGATTGCAGAAAAATTATCCTGAAAAGACCTACTTAAAAATGATCCGGAAAATCACCCAGCGTGGTTACTGAACTATGGTTTCCATCACCTTTCTGCTCCGGTATTTGTACAGAGGGAAGAGAAAAATAGTCTCTTTGATAGAGATAACAATCCAAAAGGATTTGCTGAATTCTCCTTTTTCTCAAGATTGGGGTGGGGGGCTATTCCTTCTGTGACTTTGTGCTTTCTGTGATTTTTTTTTTTTTCCATATAAACTGTCCCTCAAAACTCTTCCTCCTCACCCACCTTGAGCTCCAGGCCTCCCTTGGACAATGTTCAGCTCATCTTTTTCTTTAAAGAAAGCCTTGAGATGTGTATGAAATACTCTGCGGTTGATCAGATCAATCTTCTACCGTTATTGAATTATAACTTTTAATCTAACCGGAATCTATCCTCCCTCAATTTCAGTCAAGTCTCGTCTCTTCTCTTTCTTTTAAACACCACCACTGTCTTCAGTAATCTCGCCTGTCTTCCTGGAAATTATTTGCACAATAAGTCCTTTAGAATGTCAAGATCTGTTTATTTCTCTTGGAGGAGGAAGGAAAATAGTCTTGCTGGGTAATGAAGCCACACGATATAAAGGATTCTTTCTTTTGTTTTAATCAACTGGAATCTGTGTCCTCAGGCCCTGATCCTGATGCCCTGGATCCCACTGACATTCTACCTTCCTCTGTGCATCGTGGTACTTTCCCAGCGAGGTGCTGCTCGCTGTGAATAAGGGGATCACAATCTTGCCTGTAGTGGTTTTACTCTGTTGGAGACAGAAAAATAATTGCCCACATGCAGTGTCGAGGCATCTGGTAGAAACAAGGTTGGAAAAAGTTTCTGGTAACTTTTATCTCAAGAGGCCACCAGATTGGTTGGTGGCAGCACTAATACCTTGAGAGAAATCTTGCCATAGACTGGTGGGAGGAAAGAAGCTAAACAGAAACAATCATAGACACATGAAGCTTCAATGTATTTTTATTTTTTGTCGTTGCTCTTGTAGAGCACTCTGGATTTGCAGTGATGGTTTGCATATGCCCTTTTAGTGTTTATGTTTAAAGATAAGCTGCTTTTCTATTTATGCTTTATTTAACATTTACATTTATAACATTTCCTTGAGTGGTTTCTATCATTTTGGGATCCTTTGAGCACTCCAAGGAAAACGATAACCATTTTCTATGGGAGGAATGATAAAAGTTCCTAGGATGGGAACCTCTTGAGTTTTCCACTAGTGCTAAAAATATCAAGCCTGCATGACAGCCACACGCTCTAGTGAAAAGTCATCCGTGGCAGCTCCAAAGCCCCTCTGTCTGCTTCGTTTTACATGCATCATCGCTGTGGTACTGCAGCGAGTTAGGAATTACCTCTGTACGTTAGCCATTTACAACCCATATGTGTTGGACAGAAGACAGAGGAGGAGTGAAAAAGATGGCACGTTTGGCAAAGGTTTCCCTGTGATTTCAATGGGAATACTCTTCTGTAGCACAACAGCCAGTTTGGAGGTTACACCATCCTTGTCAGTTTATTGCACATGTTTTAACCATTATATTGTATATGAAATTGTTTTGAAAGGTGGAGGCAGCTTTGTCCAGGTTCTATTAGGGAAAATATTTTCCTTTTTTGAAATGATTAAATATGTCAGCATCCCAAGGCCTGTGTACGGTTTTGACAACTGTCATCTTACTGCGTATTGGGATCCACTTGAAACTCCTGAGAGAAGTTTATTAAACTTATAGATTAATGCCAAAAGAAGAAGAAAAACAACTCCCAAACCAAAACAAACCCAAAAGATCTATCCTACATTGCTGAAATCAGGTAGAACCCCATGTACCTCATTAGAAAAATCTGCTTTTAATATTTTCGTTTCAAGAAATGATGCATGACTTCTCAAATCCTTCCTGCAATTAATCCCCCATGTTCCTGTGTTTAGAAAATGATTCATTACTTTTGAACCTTCCTTAGTTTCCCTTGGTTTGTCCTCGGGGAGCCATTAACGCACACTGTAGTGAGCTAGAGTTACCTAACTGCAGACGTCATGTCTATTTGTTTTTACAGGTGCAGCATGCTGAATTGAAACCATACAGCAGCTCCAGTCCCGTTAGGAAGAAGCGGAGTGCGCTATAGGATGCGGCGCGATTTCGGAATTCAGCATCTCCCTCCCTACCCACTACGTGTGCGCACACGCTTCCCTCCTCTCCTTCTTGCTTCAGAACAACACTATAATGGCTGCCACAGACTTTTTTTTTCCCCTGAAGAAGTGGGTTTTGATAAACACCTATCTTGGGTTGTCTTTTCAGCATGGAGTCTTAGCCCAAAAAAAGAGCAAGGTGGAATGTGTGAACTAGTTTGTGGCGTGGGGAGGAGAATGGGAGAGGATGCTGCAACTGCACCTTTTTTTTTTAATAAATTTTTCATTTTTTTCTTTTTTCTTTTTTTCTTTTCTTTTCTTTTTTTCTTTTTTCTTTTTTTCTTTTTTCTTTTATATTTCTTTTTTCTTTTATTTCTTTTTTCTTTTATTTCTTTTTTCTTTTTTTTTCTTCCCCCCCCCTCAATTGCAGAGGCAAGGCTGGATGAGGCAGCACTCCCTGTTTTATGTAGGAAGAGATAATTCCTCTTAGTGTACAGATCAGCTGAGCTGATGTGAGGAGATGCTCTGAACCAGTTTTTAACATATCCAACAGATTTACATTTAGATATGAAAGCTATTCTTTTCCGAGTTAAATCACTGTGCCTAGAAAGGTTTAAGCTCCGAATTAACAAGTCTTTGATACCCATCTTCTGTTCAAGCAGTGTACATTTTAAAAAGTTTTTTATCATAATTAGGAGAAAGGGCTAGGAGCTCCAGCAGTATCTCAATATTTCATCCAGCACTTGTGGGGTTTTCTTTTTTCCTTTTTTTTTTTCCTTCTTCTCTTTTTTAAAGCCCACCCTGTGGTTAACTCTTTGGATACTGGAATCATCTGAGATCCATTGCTGGCAATGGATGCATGAGAACCTTCTGCTGTGAAAGGATTAAGAGACTGTAGAAAAGCCTAACTCACTGACCTGAAAAGACTCTGTTCACTTGCCTTTTATAATTCCATCTCATCAGATATTTTCAGCATAGCCGTTGTTTTCCTGTCTAAATCCAGAGGGGTCAACACTACAGATCCAAGAGAAAAAAGAAACTTTATAGCCTTAAAGAAACAAGTGCTTGTACAGAAAGAGAGCATGGTGCCCAAAGAGGTGGTTGTGCAATAGCGTGCAGGCTTTGGTCCACCACTGATGTCTTGTTGGAGTCTTTCCTGGCGATTCACAAGGAGAGGATCGGAAAGTGAAGCCATATGGAAAGTGAGCAATGAAGAGACAGGAGGAAGGACCGCGTTTTCTATTCTGAGGAGAATGTGATTTATTGCTTGCTTACCAGTCCTTTAGCTATTGTGCTTTTGCTTTATATAATTCAGATAACCAGCATTATTCATGTTGTTCGACTGGGGAGACTGAAACACAGTATCATGTGTAAACGTGCTTAATTTTGGTGAGAGCCTGACCTTCGATCCTCTAGGTGCTGTAGGACGTTGTGGGAGCGACTTGCCACCACAAGTCATTGGTAGCAGGAGAGCTGGAGTAGCTTCTTGTGATTCCCAGGCAGGTGTTACCACCAGCATCCCCTGGGGTGGTTCACAGTGCAAAGAAATAGATAATCCCCAGAGACAGGTTTCTTTTTTAAAAAAGAGGACTTTGGAGGTCATCTAATTACAGGTAAAACAGGTAAAACCTTGGTTATGGGTCAGTGGTCCAAATGGAGTCACACTGCCTGGTTCAGTAGTGCGATCTTGTGGGCTTCTTGCATGAATTTGAAGAAAGAAAACTAACCCCAGAGTATCTTCCAGTGGGTTATTAGCCAGATTCAGTGATTTTTCCAGAAGTTGATTTTTCAGAGTAACAAGCCCCACTGTGCCTTTGAATAAGGAGAGGCACATTTTCATAGACTTGATCGGATAAAGAATGTATTTTGCTCATGCGAAGCTGTGTGTAGCTGCATATGGAACGATAGAAAAAAGATTATCCTGGTTTAAAAAGCCACAAAAATGCCTCTGTGTGCACATGTGCTTGTGTACCCATGTGTATACAGAGTTATGTATAAAGAAGAGTACATGTATAATGTATTTATAGGCGAGTGTGTGTGGGAAAATGGGTGAATATACAGATTTAAGAACCTCGAAAATGTTTATGAAAAATGCCAAAGATTCTAAAGCTTATCATCTTGCGTCTGTTCTTCTTCATTTTGTATCTTTCCCGGCATGTCTCTCTGGCTGAGCCAGATCTCTGCATGATTTGATTTACTTCAAGTTAATGAAGTTGGTTGGAAAGAGCCTTGTAGAAATTATAAAATCTCCAGTAAATCTCCTTCTTGCACATACAATAGACGTCCCTGGACCCCTTTTGTTAAACCAGTTTCGCAATCTTCTGTGTAAACAATGCCTCATTGTCTCACTTTAAACTATCATCTGGTCTATCATACTGCAGTCTTGTTTTGTAAGGACCAAAGTCAGACATATTTAAGCGGGCGTGTGAGATCTGATCATTGATTTGAGTGAAAACACTCAACTGCAGGAAGAATTGTTTATTTATTCAGAAGTTGAGACTGATAATTTTTTTTTTCTATAGATTTTTCCACATGGAACTGATTTCTGTTCAGGAGACAGGGTGATTATTATTTTTTTTTTTTAGTGCAGATATGTTGTGTTTCAGGGTAATTTGTATTAGATTGTTATGCTGGAAACACACCAAATGAAGGGATTTGGATGATCCAGTACCTATGTATGTTGTAACGAGCTCTTTGTTTTGATAAATGCTGTTTTAAATGCAATAAACATTTGAGGTTAAACTGATGCTTTTAATTTTTCTGGATTAGGTGATATGTTTCCCATTCTTTGCAAAACGCTTACTATGCTCTAATATTTAGTATCTTACTAGGTAAGGAAATACATCACTTGGCAGTGCAGGGTAACAACTAACACCAGAGGTTACTTGGAATAGAGACTGTGCTGCAGCAGAAGATGAGGTAAAGTCTGACCCCACCTGCTTACAACTATTTAGCGGGATTTCCTAGGCCCTACCTAATGGAAAGGAGGGTTGTGTGCATTTACTGCACACTCCAGTAATCAAACTATTCAGATTTTTCGTTTGATTCTTAAAGCAAGAATACTGGCTGATACGTATCTCTGTGTGCCCGTTTGCCCATGCAAATGATCGGTTTTTGCATTGTTAATATATTCAATGTATAGCATGGAAACGATAAACTTACATCTTTAATTTAAGATAGTCATTTCAGTGCAACAATATGTGTATTTGCAGTCTAAAGTCTCTAAGACCAGAAGGCATTCAGAAATTTAAATCTAACTATGGGTCTTTTGGATGACTGTGAATTACAGAATCATGGAGATACTGGAATATGACTAAACACGTCCACCAACTGTACAGTGTGTGAATAACTGGGTTTGACCTGTATGTGAACGTGCAATATATACTCATTTTTGCCTAAACGTAAGCTACTGCTGGAGGTCGGTTTCTTGAATAATCATGAATAAGACTGAGGATTCAGCTCCCCTATGGATCACTGTCAGTAAAACTCAGTCACCGAAACGCACCTTGTGGCAAGCGAGCAAGCAACCGAAGAAAGCAAAGTCGGTGGAAATGTCACGCACCTTTTCTTTTCTTCTGCTTGCAGACCCCCGATTCCAACCTTTGTCCCTAGCTGTTCCTCCCTCTGCTTCCCCCTCGCTCCTCTCCCAACCACCCCCAAAGCCCCGCTGCCCTGGGGCTCCCACTGCAGAGCGCTGCCCAGCAGACCGGGCACCCTGCACCCCTGGGAGTGGGAAAGGGAAAGCGCTTGTCCCCTGGAAATAAGACCAGCTGCTGCTAACTCCCTGCCTGGGGGAAAAGTCCTAACAACTCCCCGAATTGGGCTGTCCCACTAGAAAACAGAGACTTGCCATTTAATTTCCTGTACTCTACGTGGGGCTGTGTTTTATTTATTATTTTTTTTTTGTTTAAATTTGGAGGGCCTGATCCTGCAGGCATTGCCACAAGTGGAGCTGGAGTTATTTTCCCATCAGATCGGTTGGTTCACACCAGGAAGGAATTTGACGGTGCTGATGTGTCAAGAAAAAATCGACAAAATACATTCTAATCAAACCTTAACCTTTAGATTCTCTGTCCTTTAAACTAAGCTGATAGACTGATTGGGAAATGTTAGCTTCGACTTTAGATACTATGGCATGTGCTAGAAGCGAATCCTGTTCTGACTTAATATTGTATGTGTATTTTATCTGTAAAGCTACATGTGTCAGGGCCCTGGTGCATCTACCCCTTCAAATCGCACAGGGACATGATAAGAATATCTGCTCTTTAGCATCCTTGAAGTTAGCAACTCAGAAGGAAGCTGAGATGTTACAAATGATTGTTAATCTGCTGTATTGCAGATGGAGTGTTTTAATCGTTCTCAAATTGGGGTAAATTAAGCCAGGTGAAATTCCATCATTTTGGGACAAAGTGTCTGCCTGACAGTTTATCAGTGAGGAAGACCCTCAGCAGCAACAGTAATTGTATACTGAACAATTAGTCAGGAACTAATTGGAACTAATAGGAACACGCGAGCAAAAGATGTGTTTGTGATTAATGTAAATGTTCACAGGCGTTTAGAAATAATATTGGAGTGAAAAAACAGCCTCTTGAGATTATAGCGTTTTTAATCTACTTTTCTCTGTGATGCTTTGACTTAAAACAGTGCAGCGTTTCAAGAGAATTTAGAAGGTCATTTTGTTTTGAATAAAAGATGTGCTCCTCTGACGAGAATCATGAAACTGAGCATGGGGAAGCAGGAGGTGGCATTCGGGTCTCAGTGTTTGCAACAGCAGCAGCACCTGCGTGGGCATGAGTTCAAGTTCTCAGTGTGGCTTTAACCTGAGGGCTGGTGATTCTTGTTAAATTTTACGTGAAGGAACGTTGCAAATTGGTTCCTGCGTTTTGGATTGAACACCTGCAATTTCCCTCTTGGCTGAACAAGATGATATGCCTCTTACAGGGAAAGAAAGTAAGAGCTGGAAGATACGCTGCATTTGCCCTGATGTCCTAGTGCA